AAGATCACACCATTGCACTCCTGCCTGGACAACACAGCAAGACTGTTTCAAAAAAAAAAAAAAAGAGAAATGAAATGAATCACTGAGTTATACACTGAATGAACCATTAACAGATACACTGTGTTCGTAGACAATACTTTATATTGTTAAGATATAAATTCTCTCCGATTTCATTGATGTATTCAACAAAGTTTTGGCCAGGCACAGTGGCTCACGCTGTAATCCTAGCACTTTGGGAGGCCGAGGCAGGCAGATCACCTGAGGTCAGGAGTTCGAGACCACCCGGCCAACATGGTAAAACCCGATCTCTACTAAAAATACAAAAATTAGGCCGGGCGCGGTGGCTCAAGCCTGTAATCCCAGCACTTTGGGAGGCCGAGACGGGCGGATCACGAGGTCAGGAGATCGAGACCATCCTGGCTAACACGGTGAAACCCCGTCTCTACTTAAAAATACAGAAAACTAGCCGGGCGCGGTGGCGGGCGCCTGTAGTCCCAACTACTCGGGAGGCTGAGGCAGGAGAATGGCGTGAACCCGGGAGGCGGAGCTTGCAATGAGCTGAGATCTGGCCACTGCACTCCAGCCTGGGCGGCAAAGCGAGACTCCGTCTCTAAAAAAAAAAAAAAAAAAAAAAAATACAAAAATTAGCCAGGAATGGTGGCGCACGCCTGTAGCCCCAGCTACTCGGGAGGCTGAGGCAGGAGAATTACTTGAACCCGGGAGACAGATGTGGCAGTGAGCCAAGATCACACCACTGCACTCCAGCCTGGGCGACAGAGCAAGACTCGGTCTCAAAACAAAACAAACACGGGCCTGAATGGGAAAGGGGATGCAAAAAAAATAATAATTAGTTAATGAAAAGAAACATGGGCCATATATACTATAGGATGTAACCTTTTTCAAACCTTTAACCAGTTTGGAAACCAAAAGTCAGAAAATTTATAGTCTACCATGGACAAAATGGAAACAAGAATCAGCTGGAGGGTAAAGGATTATAACTTCACTTCCTGCAACCATCTGCTATAGTACATTTCATTCTGGGAGCCCTTCACTAACAAATTTCTTATAATCCTGTTGCCCTTCCCCATTTACAGTTGTTTATATGAAAAGACAGACAACCATAAACAAGTTTTTTAAAAAGTCTTGAAATGGAAAACATTTCCGTAACTGTATAGACAACACAGTAGTCTGAAAACCACCTAAACAAAAGAAGAAATGAAACTCCTTAAGCTACAAAAACTCACCAAATGAGTCAACCATATTACACCTTAATGACAAAAAGAATTAAGCAAAAACAGGAAATAAAATCTTTTATTTTGTTATCTTTAGGGATACCTTTACAACATCTTAACCTTGAATAATTTTCTAGCACGGTGAAATTAATTCCTGTCAGGAGCTGCAGTTTCACCCACATGAATTACCGCTACTCTTAAATGTAAAGCAAGTTTGGCTAGTCAACTATTTTTTTTTTTTTTTTTTTTTGAGGCGGAGTCTCGCTCTGTCGCCCAGCCTGGAGTGCAGTGGCCGGATCTCAGCTCACTGCAAGCTCCGCCTCCCAGGTTTACGCCATTCTCCTGCCTCAGCCTCCCGAGTAGCTGGGACTACAGACGCTCGCCACCTCGCCCGGCTATTTTTTTGTATTTTTTTTACTAGAGACGGGGTTTCACCGGGTTAGCCAGGATGGTCTCGATCTCCTGACCTCGTGATCCGCCCGTCTCGGCCTCCCAAAGTGCTGGGATTACAGGCTTGAGCCACCGCGCCCGGCCTAGTCAACTATTTTTATAATGTTGCTAGAAAGACTCACAAATCCCCATAATATGAAAGTATGTGTGCGGCTTTGAAGACTCACAGAAGTCTTACAAACATGGACACGATGCAACACTGGCTCAGGAAAAACTTGCAGAAAGGAACTGGCATGAGGTGCACTGAAAGGATATGGGACATCAGCCACGGTCCTGAGCCCTGAGTTGTCACTACTAGCAAACAAAGTTGAAAAGGAGAGCAGCCACGACCAGTCTCCACATTCCTAGGTATCAAGAAAAGGGGCAGAGTGAACTGAGGCTTCAGGTGACCATTTTCCAACTTCCTGGCTGCAAGGGACAACTGAAAATGGATGCCACTAGCACAACTCTAGAGAAGCCTCCAGTGGCACCCACTTCCCTTGTATGTCAAGACTTCTGTGTTAATGTGAAAGTCCTCCAGGGGGCCCAGTCAAAGCTACTGTTTTCTGCGTATCTTATGATCTGTAGGGGCTGTTACTCATTTAATCACTACAAAAACCCTCAACACAGGAAGGGTAATAAGGTAGAAAGTATTAATGAGTCCCTTGTAAAGATGAAGTCTCAACAAGGTTAATTTATCTGCCCCATAATGCCAAATTATACAAACATATAACAAAATGCAGTATAATATTTATCTTATCCAAAATAAATGTTAAGTAGATAAACAAAACATACAAAAGAATCATTTAGAGGACAGGATACTAATCCAGTTAGGTGACCTTAGACCTAACCAAGGACTCAACCAAAAAAGAGAGAGGGTTTAAACAGATTACATATAAGGTCCTCACAGGTCTAAAATTCTGTGATTTGGAATGCTAAATGAAAAATACTTGGGACTACCTAAATATAGAGGCAATATATTAAGTTAAAAGCACTAGTTAGAAATAGAAGTAGTGGAGGCCGGGTGTGGTGGCTCATGCCTGTAATCCCAGCACTTTGGGAGGTGAAGGCGGGTGGATCACGAGGTCAGGAGATGGAGACCATTCTAACACACTGAAACCCTGTCTCTAATAAAAATACAAAAAATTAGCCAGGTGTGGTGGCAATAGTCGCAGCTACTCAGGAGGCTAAGGCAGGAGAATCGCTTGAACCTGGAGGAAGGTGGGGGTTGCAGTAAGCCAAGATCACGCCACTGCACTCCAGCCTGGGCAAGAGAGCAAGACTCCGTCTCAAAAAAAAAAAGAAAGAAAGAAATAGAAGTGTAGCAAAAAGATCCGGAATTCAGTGCATGTACACTATACTTCAATAAAAATATATTTTTTAAAAAAGATAACTTGGCCAGCCACAGTAGTTCATGCCTGTAATCCTAACACTTTGGGAGGCTAAAGTGGGCAGATCGCTTCACCCCAGGAGTTCAAGACCAGCCTGGGCAACATGGCAAAACCCTGTCTCTACAAAAGGATACAAAAATTAACCAGACACGATGGCACGCAACTGTAGTCCCAGCTACTCAGGAGGCTGAAGCAGGAGGATCAGTTGAGCCTGGGAGACAGAGGTTGCAGTAAGCTGAGATGGTGCCACTGCACTCCAGCCTGAGTAACAGAGCAAGATCCCATCTCAAAAAAAAAAAAAAAAAAAGTAACAGCCGGGTGAGGTGGCTCACGCCTGTAATCCCAGCACTTTGGGAGGCTAAGGTGGGCGGAGACCAGCCTGGCCAACATGGTAAAACCCATCTCTACTAAAAATACAAAAATTAGCCAGGCGTGGTAGTGCACGCCTGTAATCCCAGTAACTCAGGAGGCTGAGGCAGGAGAATCGCTTGAACCGAAGAGGCAGGGATTGCAGTGAGCCAAGATCATGCCACTGCACTCCAGCCTGGCCAACAGAGCAAGACTCTGTCTCAAAAAAAAAAAAGGATAACTTGTCGGCCAGGTGCAGTGTAATCCCAACACCTTGGGAGGCTTAGGCAGCAGGATCATGTGAAACCAGACTTTGAGACCAGCCTGGGCAACACGGTGAGACCCCATTTCTATAAAAAATAATAATAGTAATTTTTTAAAAAGATGGCCGGGTGTGGTGGCTGACGCTTGTAATCCCAATTCTTTGGGAGGCCGAGGCGGGTGGATTGCCTGAGCACAGGAGTTCTAAACCAGCCTGGGCAACAAGGTGAAACCCCGTCTCTACTAAAATACAAAAAAAATAATTTGCCAGGTAATGCGGCGTGCGCCTGTTGTCCCAGCTACTCAGGAGGCTGAGGGAGGAGAATTGCTTGAACCCGGGAGGCAGAGGTTACAGTGAGGCAAGATCACACCACTGCACTCCAGTCTGGGCAACAAAGCAAGACTCTGTCTCCAAAAAAAAAAGATAACTTGTGGAAAATTTTAGATTAGCTACTTCAACTATAAAAATGATTTTCATTCTATAAGTCCACAGACAGCAAAAAAAAAAAAAAAAAAAAATTAGGATTTTCAATCAACTAGTCACACGAAAATATACGTGAGCCTGTATTCTTCCAGACCACAAATTAAGACACACAATTACAGAAGTAAAGCAAACACAAAGGCTTTCTAAAAAGCTTAAGAACATCTAATTGCTGGATTGCCTCATTTAATGATCAATAAGCAATGTGACATCAATTTTAAAGTAGTAATATAGTACTTGCTTTGTTTACAAAAAATATAAACCATTAACATTCAGAAGACCAGATCAATAAGAAAAGGTATATCATAAAACATAATTAACTTGTCAAATAATAAACCTTTGTAATATTTACAGTTGATAATAATCTGGTTAATGCGACACAAACTTGCCATAATTGCCAATTACAAAGTGTCACTTACAAAAATAAAAACTCTATAAAATAGCAAGAGAAAAATGTCCTTTTAAATGAAAGTTGATTACTTTAATGCTGTGATAAAAAAATAGATTTTATGCCAACTCCAATCAAGGGGTAACAGCTGGCTAGAAAGGACCAAGTGTGCCCAAGGGCAGAGTAAGGACTCAGTATCTTGGTTGGGCCCTGGCTGCAAAAGGAGAGTAGCAGGCTGACTGAGGTCTATGTGCCTACACACTTCATAGACTAAGAAACAAAAAGCCATGGGCTATGTTCTCAAAATGTAAAATGTTATTAAAAAATACAACACACATCTTAAAAATCAACTATGTTTAGCTTTATTCCTAATAAAATTTGGACTGAAGTACAAAATTAGAAACAAGAAAAAGTTTTTCAAATGTCAGGATGACCTTTTATTGTTCTGTTCTTTTCCCTCCTCTCTTTAGTATTTCTCTTGGAAGTATTAAGATTTCAAAAAATGGGCAGAATGAATCACAGACAGATGCTTTCAGAAACTTGGATGAAGACATATATAATGTAAGATGGACTTCACTTACATGTAGAGTAAAATGGACTTACATGTAAAAGCATTTAGAGTAAGTGTCTGGTATTATTAGCTCCTACTATTAGCTCCTACTATTATTGTTAAATCATTATTATAACTTTTTACTAAGTTATAAGTTACTAAGTAAAAAGTTACAATAATAATTTTTAAAGTTTTTTCCTGTCCTATGTGATCTGAAAAAATATATATACACACCAATACCATTTACTTAAACACGGGAAGGTAGAGGACAAGGAAAGAAGAAAATCTAAGTGAAATGTATTTCCTTGTTCTAATAGGAGAAGTAGCCACGGAAAAATGTAAGGTTAAACACGTCAGTTTACAATTAGGAATATCTGCTTTACTTCCTTTATTGGAGTAACTAAAGGTTTCTTTTACTTTTTCCCCCCACAAATTAATTTAGCAAAAGTTAAACTCAAAATAGGCAAAGAATATAAACAGTTCACAGAAAAGGACATACATATGGCCTTTTAAAAATATAAAAAGATGTTCCACTTCACTCATAAGAAATTTAAGATACAATCCCACCAAGGAACCATTTTTAATCTGTAAGATTAGTAAAGATTTAAAAACTTAATCCTAGACCTCGTGTGGTGGCTCATGCCTGTAATCCCCGCACTTTGGGAGTCTGAGTTGGGTGGATCACCTGAGGTCAGGAGTTTGAGAGCAGCCTGGCCAACATGGTGAAACCCTGTCTCTACTAAAAACACAAAAAATTAGCCAGGCATGGTAGTGCACACCTGTAATTCCAGCTATTCAGGAGACTGAGACATAAGAATCGCTTGAGCCCGGGAGGCAGAGGTTGCTATGAGCTGAGATCATGTCATTGCACTCCAGCCTGGGGACTCTGTCTTTTAAAAAAAAAAAAAAAAAAAAAAAAAAGGCGGGGGTGGGCCTGGCACTGTGGCTCCCTCCTAGCACTTTGGGAGGCTGAGGCAGGTGGATTATCTGAAGTCAGGAGTTCAAGACCAGCCTGGCTAACATGGTGAAACCCCATCTCTACTAAAAATACAAAAATTAGCCAGGCGTGGTAGTGTGCACCTGTAATCCCAGCTACTTGGGAGACTGAGGCAGGAGAATCGCTTGAACCTGGGAGGCAGAAGTTGCAGTGAGCCAAGATCATGCCACTGCACTCCAGCCTGGGCAACAAAGGGAGACTCCATCTCAAAAAAAAAAAAAAAAAAAAAAACTTAATCCTATACTGGTAAGAGTCAAAGGAGGGAATGGGCACTCATTCATTGCTGGTAGGTGTAAACTGGAACAATATCTGAGGCAATTAATTTGGTAATATCTGTCAAAATCACAATGCATAAAACCATTTATTTTTTATAGAGAAAAATAAACGGGGTCTTGCTATGTTGCCCAGGCTGCTGAAATGTAGTGGCTATTCACAGGTTCCACTGTAGTGTACAGAGCAAAACTCCATCTCAATAAATAAAGAAATAAAGACTCCATCTCAATAAATAAATAGATGCCATAGTCCTCCGAGTACTAAATGACATATATACTCACCCACCACATGACATTTAAGTCAACAGCAAACCACAAATATGAACAACAGTCCCATAAGGTTATAATGAAGCTGAAAAACTCCAACTGCCCAGTGACACTATAGTGGTAATGTCATGGCACAAAGCATGACTCCCATGTCTGTGATGATACTGGTATAAACAAACCTACTGTATTGCCCATCAAATAAATGTACAGTACATACAATTATGTACAGTACTAACACTTGACATAGATAATTACTATGTTACTGATTTATGTATTTATTATACTATACTTTTTTTTTTTTTTTTTTTTGACACAGAGTCTTGCTCTGTCACCCAGGCTGGAGTGCAGTAGCACGATGTTGGTCAGGCTGGTCTCAACTTCCTGACCTCAAGTGATCCACCTGCCTCGGCCTCCCACAGTGCTGAGATTACAGGTATGAGCCACTGCATCTGGCCAATATACTATACTTTTTATTGTTGTTTTAATTTTATTTAATTTTATTTTGAGATAGAGTCTCACTCTGTTGCCAAGGCTGGAGTGCAGTGACATGATCTCGGCTCACTGCAACCACCACCTCCTGGGTTCAAGCAATTCTCTTGCCTCAGTCTCCCAAGTAGCTGGGATTACAGGTCCATGCCACCCCACCCAGCTAACTTTTGTATTTTTTAGTAGAGACAGGGTTTCACCATGCTGGCCAGGCTGGTCTTGAACTCCTGACCTCAACTGATCTCTCCACCTCAGCCTCCCAAAGTGGTAGGATTACAGACGTGAGCCACCACACCTGTCCTATTGTTGTCTTAGGGTGTATTTTTTCTACTTACTAAGGAAAAAAGGTTAACTGTAAAACAGCCCCAGACAGGTCCTTCAGAAGGTATTCCAAAAGAAGGAATTGTTATCAAAGATGACAGCTCCATGTGTGTGAGTGTTCCTGAAGACCTTCCAGGGGGACAAGATGTGGACTAAGAAGTGATACTGATGATCCTGACCCTGTGTAGACCTAAGCTAACATATGTTTATGTTTGCATTGTCAATAAAAAAGTTTAAAAAGTGAAAATGACTTTTTTTGACACAGGGTCTCCATCTGTACACCAGGCTTGAGTGCACTGGTGCAAACACAGCTCACTGCAGCCTCAAACTCTCAGGCTCAAGCAATACTCCTGCCTAAACCTCCCGAGCAGCTGGGACCACAGGTGCATGCCGCCACACCCAGCTAATTTTTAAATATTTTGTAGAGACGGAGTCTTGTTATGTTGCTTAAGCTGGTCTTAAACTCCTGAGCTCAAGTGATCCTCCCATCTCAACCTCCCAAAGTGCTGGGATTACAGGTACGAGCTGCTATGCCCAGCCATAAATGAATTCTTTTTTGTTTGTTTGTTTTTTGAGATAGAGTCTCACTCTGTCTCCCAGTCTAGAGTGCAGAGGCCTGATCTCAGCTCACTGCAACCTCTGCCTCCTGGGCTCAACCAATCCTCCTGCCTCAGTCTCCCTAGTAGCTGGGACTACAGGTATATACCACCAAACCTGGCTAATTTTTATATTTTTAGTAGAAACAGGGTTTCACAATGTTGCCCAGGCTGGTCTCCAACTCCTGGGCTCAAGCAATCTGCCTGCCTCAGCCTCCCAAAGTGCTGGGATTACAGGCGTGAGCCACTGCACCTGGCCAAATGATTTTTTCTTAATAGGAAAAAAGCTTAAGGCCGGGCGCGATGGCTCATGCCTGTAACCCCAGCACTTTGGGAGGCCGAGGTGGGTGGATCACAAGGTCAGGAGATAGAGACCATCCTGGCCAACATGGTAAAACCCCATCTCTACTAAAAATACAAAAACTAGCTGGGCATGGTGGTGTGCACCTGTAATCCCAGCTGCATGGGAGGCTGAGGCAGGAGAATTGCTTGAACCTGGAAGGCGGAGATTGCAGTGAGTCGAGATTGTGCCACTGCCCTCCAGCCTGGGCTACTGAGCGAGACTCCGTTTAAAAAAATAAAAATAAAAAATAAATAAAAGAAAAGAAAAAGAAAAAAGCTTATAGAATAAGGATATAATGAAAGAAAATATTTTTGTACAGCTGTTCAATGTGTTTGTGTTTTAAGTTGTTATTACAAGAGTCAAAAAGCTAAACAAAATTAAAAGGTTTATGAAGTTAAAAACTTACAATAAATTGGGTTAATTTATTATTGAAGGAAAACTTTTCCAAAAATTTAGTATTGCCTAAGTGTACAGTGTTTACAAAGCCTACAGTGGTGTACAGTATGTACTAGGCCTTCACTTCCTACCACCACTCAGTCACTGACTCACTTCAAGGCCTGGAATCTCCATTCATGGTAAATGTCCTACACAGGTGTATCACTTTTTATCCTTTCTACTGTATTTTTACTGTACTCGTTCTATGTTTAAATATGTTTAGATACACAAATACCCAGCCGGGCGCGGTGGCTCAAGCCTGTAATCCCAGCACTTTGGGAGGCCAAGGCAGGCGGATCACGAGGTCAGGAGATCGAGACCATCCTGGCTAACACGGTGAAACCCCGTCTCTACTAAAAAATACAAAAAACTAGCCGGGCGAGGTGGCGGGCGCCTGTAGTCCCAGCTACTCGGGAGGCTGAGGCAGGAGAATGGCGTGAACCCGGGAGGCGGAGCTTGCAGTGAGCCGAGATCGCGCCACTGCACTCCAGCCTGGGCGACAGAGCGAGACTCCGTCTCAAAAAAAAAAAGATACCCAAAATTGGGTAACAACTGCATACAGTATTCAATACAGTAATAAACGTACAGATGTGCACCCTAAGAACAATAGGCTACACCACATAGCCTAGGTGTGTAATAGGCTATACCATCTAGGTTTGTGTAAGTACACTCTATGATGTCCACACATAGACAAAAATCGCCTAACAACGCATCTCTCAGAAACATATCCTTGTCACAAGGCAATGATGGCCATGCTCTGCAGACTGCTAGATAGCAAATGATGAAAAATACCCTAATCCTCTACCAGTACACTGTGGTCAAATTACAGTACATCAAAGTGTGGAATAACATGCAGTCATGAAAACTGTAACACAGTTTAAAAAAGAGCAAACATGCGGGCAGATCACTTGAGGTCAGGAGTTCAAGAGCAGTCTGGCCAATGTGGTGAAACCCCGTCTCTATTAAAAATACAAAAATTAGCCAGGTGTAGTGGTGCACACCTGTAGTCCCAGCTACTCAGGAGGCTGAGGTCGGAGAAGTGCTTCAACTGGGGAGGCGAAGGTTGCAGTGAGCCGAGATTACGCCATTGCACTCTAGTCTGGGCGACAGAGATAGTGAGACTCCGTCTCAAAAAAAAAAAAAAAAAAAAAAAAAAGCAAACGTGAAAAAAAGCAAGCCCAGTTTCTTAGTCCATTTTGTGTTGCTGAAAAGGAATACTTGAAGCTGGGTAATCTACAAAGCAAAAAGGTTTATTTGCCTCACAATTCTCATGGCTGTAAAGTTCATGACTGGGTATCTGCATCTGATGAGGGAATCAGGCTGCTTTCAGTCATGGTAGAAGGTGAAGGGGAACCAATATGCGGCGATCACATGGCAAGAAAGGAAGCAAGGTTGGAGGTGTGCTGGTTCTTTTTAAAAACCAGCTCTCTAGGGAACTAACAAAGTGAAAAGTCACGTCGACTCCAGGGAGGGCATTAATTTAATCCATTCAAGAAGAATCTGGCCGGGCGTGGTGGCTCAAGCCTGTAATCCCAGCACTTCGGGAGGCCGAGACGGGCGGATCACGAGGTCAGGAGATCGAGACCATCCTGGCTAACACGGTGAAACCCCGTCTCTACTAAAAAATACAAAAAACTAGCCGGGCGAGGTGGCGGGCGCCTGTAGTCCCAGCTACTTGGGAGGCTGAGGCAGGAGAATGGCGTAAACCCGGGAGGCGGAGCTTGCAGTGAGCTGAGATCCGGCCACTGCACCCCAGCCTGGGCGACAGAGCGAGATTCTGTCTCAAAAAAAAAAAAAAAAAAGAGGAATCTACTCCCATGACCCAACCATCTCCCATTAGGCCCCACCTCCAACACTGGGGATCAGATCTCAACATGAGTTTGGAGGGCACAGCATCCAAACCACAGCACGCAGGAAAAGGGCTATAGTGTACCGAAAGTCTTCCAAAGATGAACCTGTCTCCTGGGTGTATGAGACATTCTAAGAGGTACACAGAAACATAGGTTTCAGATCAACACCCACATGCTCCTACTGATCTGCCTGAGAACTAGCACAAGGTCAAGGCATCAGACTGATCTCTTGTCATCTCCACTTCTCACAACTGCCATTCTCTTATATACAGGCATCTCCTCTCAACCACCCTAAATCTTACTGCAGAACTTGCGTGGAACATGGGGAGTAAAAACCTCCAAGATACCAAACAAAGGGACCATTGGTGACAAAAGAGAAATACAATACAAGTCTCTGAGAGGCCTCTAACCCAGACATCAAAAAGTTCCACAGTAGGGTTTTGTGTCCTATACATGCTTCAGCCTGGGCAACATGGTGAAACTTGTCTCTACTAAAAATACAAAATTTAGCCAGGCATGGTGGCACACACCTATAATCCTAACTACTCCAGAAGCTGAAGCAGGAGAATCGCCTGAACCTGGGAGGCAGAGGTTGCAGTGAGCCTAGATGGCACCACTGCACTCCAGCCTGGGTGAAAGAGCAAGACTCCGTCTCACAAAAACAAAAATCCAAAAAGAAGTGGTTACCTTACAGATGTATGCTACTCATTTATTAAAATTGGAAAAAAGGAGTCAGACTTTCTGGCAGAAAGTCAGTGTTATTTATTTAGCTGCCTAGTTTGTCAGTGAAGACTGGCTTTGCCATTAAGGTTACTGGTGTTAATTTTCCACAACTGAACAAATTAAATCCACAGTTCCAACAATTAGATGAAAATATATTTAAATAGTTTATAATTATATTAAAATTTGCATCATGTATTTAAATACATATTTAAGTATGTACATGATCTAAGAGTTAAACATTTACCAGACACAAATTTAAAATACAAAGGTATATTTAAATGAACATTACTTCATTACTTCAACTTTCCCAAACCTTTGAGTATACTGGTTGAAATAAGGTGCCTATATTGTTTTATGTGTCAAACTATCTAAACTATAGTACCTAGTTATTCAATCAAAATCTAACTTAGATATTGTTATGAAAATATTTTGTAGATATGAGTAACATCAGCTGACTTGAAGTTAAGAAGACTGGCCTCCATAATCAGGGTGGGCCTCATCCAATCAGTAAAAGGCCGTAAGTGCAAAACTAAGGCTTCCCTGAAGAAGAAACGTCCACCTGACAGACAGCCCCCCTGTGGATATCAGACTTGCCTGGCCAGCCCCAGCAATTATGTAAGCCAGTTCCTTGCAAAAAAAAATCTCTTTATATGTATATAAACCCGTTGAAAATTTTATGTAGTGTATATAAATGTATTTATACTACATATATTATAATACATACAATATTCATGTGTATACATGCATACATATGTGTCTGTATATTTATACACATACATAAACTCCATCTGGTTCTTTTTCTCTGGTAAAACCCTAATTGATTCAGAGTCCCTATAGGTGAATGGTAAGAAGTATAATTAATAATCTTTTGTTAGGTCTCAGTAAAACCTTTTTACTTTGCTTCTCAGAAAATGAGAATGCAAAGGGCCCTAATGACTTGTTAAAAAACCTAAACCTCTTCCATGTCTGCTGGTTTCAAATTATCTGCTTCTAGCAAAACTAAAAGAGGACCTAATTGAATTGACAGCTGCTAAATCATTAAAAATCCTTTATTGTCAATGACTGCTATATGCTTTTTCAAACACAGTTGAGAAGAACAAAGAACTGAGACCCTTATAAGCTCTAAGGGCAGAGATTTCGGTAGCTTTGTTCACCACTCATCACCAGTACTTAGTAGAATGTCCAGTACGCAGCAGGAACTCAAAATACATTTGGTAAATGAATACATAAGCAAAACTCCACAATTCTGATCTACCTACTTACATGTAAAAATTGTGTTACAATCTACATGAATATAAATCAAACATGAAGAACAGAATGAAAGCTAAACCTGTCTCATTCTAGCAATGATGTATATTATTTCAAGGATTCATTAAGCTAATTGGAAAGGAAGTCCACTAAGCTTAAGATTTCCTATGAAAATGTCACACTTTTAGTTTTACTAATTATCAAAAATTTTACAATGTATACTGTAATTATAAAAATCCAAAGAAAAATGTTAAGACTCTGAGTCTTATGAATTCAGAAAATGTAAATAGTTTTTACATTTTAATTTACATATGCATTTCTGTTGCAGTGATTCACAAGATGATTAATACAATTTGCAAGCATAAAAAACATTAGGTTAGTACACCAGGCACACCTGTAACCCCAGCACCTTAGGAAGCCGAGGTGGGCAGATCACTTGAGGCCAGGAGTTCAAGACCAATCTATCCAACATGGCAAAAATCCGTCTCTACAAAAAATGCAAAAATTAGCTGGGTGTGGTGGCACACACATGTGATCCCAGCTACTCAGGTGGCTAAAGCAGGAGAATAACTTGAATCCCTACGTCAAGAGGCAGAGGTTGCAGCGAGCTGAGATTGTGCCACTGCACTTCAACCTGAGTGACAGCCAAACTCTGTCTCAAAAAAACAAACAAACAAATAAATGAATAAATAAAGGAAGGGAAAATCAAGAGAAAAAAAGAGAAAACATTCTAATCCGCTATCATTTTTGAAAAAACCTGGGCCGGGCACGGTGGCTCATGCCTGTAATCCCAGCACTTTGGGAGGCCAAGGCAGGTGGATCACGAGGTCAGGAGATCGAGATCATCCTGGCTAACATGGTGAAACCCCGTCTCTACTAAAATACCAAAAATTAGCTGGGTGTGGTGGTGCACACCTGTAGTCCCACCTACTTGGGAGGCTGAGGCAGGGGAATTGCTTGAACCCGGGAGGTGGAGGTTGCAGTGAGCCGTTATCACGCCACTGCACTCCAGCCTGGAGACAGTGAGACTCTGTCTTTAAAAAAAAAAAAAAAAACTTTAAGAAAAAACCTGTTGCAGAGTAAAGAACGTGTATATACACTTTTGTATGTATTTTCTTTCATACACAAGAATTCTCATTGGAAAAGACACCAGAAGCTAGTAATAATAATGACTTGTCAGGGAGAACTGGGTTTTGGGGGGTCCTGATATAGGGAGCTTTTGCACTGAATACATTTTTGTATCTTTTAAATGTTTACTCATTCAAACGTTAACTTATATTTTGGGAGGCAGGGTCTTGTTCTGTCACTCAGGCTGGAGTGAGTGGCGCAATCACAGCTTACTGCAGCCTCAACCTTCAGAGATCTGTATTAATGTTTTATTTTTTATTTTACTTTAAATTTTTTTTTTTTTTTTTTTTTCTGAGACTGAGTCTCACTCTGTCGCCCAGGCTGGAGTGCAGTGGCGAGATCTTGGCTCACTGCAAGCTTTGCCTCCCGGGTTCAGGCCATTCTCCTGCCTCAGCCTCCCGAGTAGCTGGGACTACAGGCGCCAGCCACGATGCCCGGCTAATTTTTTTTGTATTTTTAGTAGAGTCGGGGTTTCACCGTGTTAGCCAGGAAGGTCTCGATCTCCTGACCTTGTGATCCACCCACCTCGGCCTCCCAAAGTGCTGGGATTACAGGCGTGAGCCACTGCACCCGGCCTATTTTGCTTTAATTTTTTTGAGATAGAGTCTCACTGTGTCACCCAGGCTGGAGTGCAGTGACACGATCTTGGCTCACTGCAACCTCCGCCTCCCGGGTTCAAGGCATTGTCCTGCCTCAGCCTCCTGAGTAGCTAGGATTACAGGTGCCTGCCACCACACCCGACTAATTTTTGCATTTTACCTTTTTTTGAGATGGAGTCTTGCTGCGTCGCCAGGCTGGAGTACAGTGGCACAATCTCAGCTCACTGCAACCTCTGCCTTCCGGGTTCAAGTGATTCTCTTGCCTCAGCCTCCCAAGTAGCTGGGACTATAGGCACGTGCCACCATACCCAGCTAATTTTTGTATTTTTAGTAGAGACAGGGTTTCACCATGTTGGCCAGGATGGTCTCGAACTTCTGACCTCGTGATCCGCCTGCCTCAGTCTCCCAAAGTGCTGGGATTACCAGCGTGAGCCACCGTGCCCAGCCAATTTTTGTATTTTTCCTAGAGATGGGTTTTTGCCATGTTGGTCCTGGCCTCAAGTGATCTACCTGCCTCGGCCCCCCAAAGTGCTAGGAGCCACCATGCCCAACCAATGATCTCTGTGTGTGAGTGTGTGTGTGTGTGTGTGTGTGTGTGTGTGTGTGTGTGTTTTCCTTCCTTGTACCGGTTTTTTGAAATTTCTTTTTTTTTTCTTGCTTTTAGATATGAGGTCTTGCTGTGTTGCCCAGGCTAGTCTCCAACTCCTGGACTCAAGTGGTCCTCCTGCCTTGGCCTCCAAAAGTGCTTGGATTACAGGTGTGAGCCACTGTCCCCGGCCTAAATTTTCTTTCTTTTCTTTTTTTTTTTTTTTTTTTGAGACGGAGTTTTGCTCCTGTTGCCCAGGCTGGAGTGCAACGGTACGATCTCAGCTCACTACAACCTCCACCTCCTGGGTTCAAGCAATTCTGCCTCAGCCTCCCAAGCAGCTGGGATTACAGGTGTGTGCCACCATGCCCATCTAATTTTGTATTCTTTTTTTTTTTTTTGAGACGGAGTCTCGCTCTGTCGCCCAGGCTGGAGTGCAGTGGCGCGATCTCGGCTCACTGCAAGCTCCGCCTCCCGGGTTCACGCCATTCTCCTGCCTCAGCCTCCCGAGTAGCTGGGACTACAGGCGCCCACAACCGCGCCCGGCTAATTTTTTGTATTTTTAGTAGAGACGGGGTTTCACCGTGGTCTCGATCTCCTGACCTTGTGATCTGCCCGCCTCGGCCTCCCAAAGTGCTGGGATTACAGGCGTGAGCCACCGCGCCCGGCCTAATTTTGTATTCTTAATAAAGACAGGGTTTCACCATGTTGGTCAGGCTGGTCTTGAACTCCTGACCTCAAGTGATCCACCCACCTCGGCTCCCAAAGTGCCGGGATTAGAGGCGTGAGCCACTGCGCCCAGCCCTAAATTTTCTTTTTGTCAGGAAGTTATTCATCGTTTGTAATTTTTTTTTTAAGAGACACAGGTGTCACTCTATTGCCCAGGCTGGAATGCAATTGCTCAGTCATAGCTCATTCCAACCTTGAAATACTGGACTCAAGTGATTCTCCTATCTCACTCTCCTCTGTAGGTAGAACTGTAATTATATATAACTAAATAAATAAAATAAAATACAAGATGGGGCCATGCAAAGTGGCTCATGCCTCTAATCCGAGCATTTTGGGAGGCCAAGGCAGGTGGATCACTTGAGGTGAGAAGTTCGAGACCATGCTGGCCAACACGGCAAAACCCAGTCTCTACAAAAATACAAAAATTAGCCAGGAGTGGTGGCGTGCACCTGTTGTTCCAGCTACTCAGAAGGCTGAGGCAGGCGAATCACTTGAACCCACAAGGTGGAGGTTGCAGGGAGCCGAGACTGCACCACTGCACTCCAGCCTAGGTGACAGAGTGAAACTCTGTCTCAAAAAGAAAGAAAAAAAGAATCTTCATTTGGTCTTTCATAATGTTACTAAACTCAACTTACAATGTTTTTGTTTTTAATAATCTCCCCTTTTCTCATTTTTTTGTTTCTTATTTTTGGCTCTGAACTGACACCATTTATTTTTATATCTTAACTCTTATGAGGCTGGGCATGGTGGCTCACACCTGTAATCCCAGCACTTTGGGAAGCCAAGGAGAGCAGATCACCTGAGGTCGAGACCAGCCTGGCCAACATGGCGAAACCCAATCTCTACTAAAAATACAAAAATTAGCCAGGCATGGTGGTGCACGCCTATAATCCCAGCTACTCGGGAGGCTGAGACAGGAGAATTGCTTTAACCCAGGAGGTGGAGATTGCAGTGAGCCACTCAAGCCTGGGCAACAGCGAGACTCCGTCTCAAAAAAAAAAAAAAAAAAAAAAAACTTATGGCTTCTGGACTTATTTTCTAGGTCTCTTAATTCATTTTTCCCTGCCAAGAGAAAAGGTCTCCCTTTGTCACCCAGGGTGGAATGCAGTGGTGTGAACACACAGCTCACTGCAGCCTCAATCTCCTGGGCTCAAGCAATCCTCCTGCCTCAGTCTCCTGAGTAGCTGGGACCAGAGCTGTGTGCTATCACACACAACTAATCTTTTCTTTTTGTTGTTGTTGAAATGGGATCTTCCTGTGCTGTCCAGGCTGGTATCTAATTGCTGGGTTCATGTAATCATCCTGCCTCAGCCTCCCAAAGTGTTGGGTTTATGTAATTTTTTATTCAACTATGGGCAACAGCTAGACTCCATCTCAAAAAAAAAAAAAAAAAAAAAAAATACACTGAAGTCTCCAACTTACTCTTAAATGGTTCAGAAAATAATATATGTATGTTTGCATTATATATAGCATGATATGGCCGGGCGCGGTGGCTCAAGCCTGTAATCCCAGCACTTTGGGAGGCCGAGACGGGCGGATCACGAGGTCAGGAGATCAAGACCATCCTGGCTAACACGGTGAAACCCCATCTCTACCAAAAAAGACAAAAAACTAGCCGGGCGAGGTGGCGGGCGCCTGTAGTCCCAGCTACTGAGGCTGAGGCAGGAGAATGGCGGGAACCCGGGAGGCGGAGCTTGCAGTGAGCTGAGATCCGGCCACTGCACTCCAGCCTTGGCGACAGAGCGAGACTCCGTCTCAAAAAAAAAAAATATATATATATATATAGCATGATAAAGCCAATAGGGCAAAATGTTAACAACTGTTGAATCTGAGTAAACGGCATGAGAGTTCCTTACACACTTGGACACTTTAAGACTGAAAGACGTTATGACCTTTTACAAGTAAGTACTGAAATATTTACAGATAAAAAGGTAAGGCTTCTTTGATGTGCTTCAAAATAACGGGCTAGCGAGTAGGGGTCTAGATGAATAAAAATTGATCATGTATGGATCACTGTTAATACACAGTGATGGAAACACCAGGCATATTGTATTCTTCTCTGCTTGTACATGATGAAAGTCTTCTGTAATAATAAGTTTGTTTTTTTTTTTAAGAGTCTGTAAGCCGGGCGCAGTGGCTCACACCTGTAATCCAGCACTTTGGGAGGCAGAGGTGGGCAGATTACCTGAGGTCGGGAGTTCGAGATCAGCCTGACCAATATGGAGAAACCCCGTCTCTACTAAAACTACAAAATTAGTCAGGCGTGGTGGCGCATGCCTGTACTTCCAGCTACTCAGGAGGCTCAGGCAGGAGAATCGCTTGAACCTGGGAGGTAGAGGTTACGGTAAGCCGAGATCACGTGGCACTGCACCCAGCCTGGGCAACAAGAGAGAAACTCCGTCTCAAAAAATAAAAAAAAAGAAAGAGAGTCCATAATGGCCAGGCGCAGTGGCTCTCACAGCACTTTGGGAGTATAAGGCAGGAGGATCACTTGAGATCCCAGGAGTTGGAGACCAGCCTGGCCAACATGGTAAAACCCCATCTCTACTAAAAATACAAAAATTAGCCAGGCGTGGTGGCATGCGCCGGTACTCTCAGCTACCTGGGAGGCTGAGGTATCAGAATTGCTTGAACCAGGGAGGCTGCAGTGAGACAAGATTGTGCCACTGCACTCCAGTCTGGGCAACAGAGCGAGACTCTCTATCTCAAAAAATAAAAAAAGAGTCCATAATCAGAAGTTTTTTAAATGGAAAAACTAAAGTTCAGGAAAATTAAGTGGCATCCACACTCAGGACTCCAGTTTTGAACTCATTCTAATAACACTTTCTCCATTAACCCTCCCTAAAAAACTCCTCATAAAACATGAACTCTTCAGACAACTTTATGTGCTTTCTGCACCTGATGTTTTAGTCAATACGACAGAAATACAGTAAGATACATCTAACTCCACCATTCCTAGATATATAGTTGCCTTTGAAAGTAAATCCCAGCTACTTGGGAGGCTGAGGCAGGAGAACTGCTTGAACATGGGAGGTGGAAGTTGCAGTGAGCCGAGATCATGCCATTCCATTCTAGCCTGGGCAACAAGAGTGAAACTCTGTCTCTAAATAAATAAATAGATAATAAAATAAAATATTTTTTAAAATCTCATTTATATTCATATACTTTGGATTTAATCATGCTCATAATCTAGGTTCTAAGGTTGTTGCTGGTTGGATGTGGTGCCTCACACCTGTAATCTCAACATTTTGGGAGGCCGAGATGGGAGGATTGCTTGAGGCCAAGAGTTTGAGACCTACCCTGGCAACATAACAAGACCCCATTTCTACCAAAAAAATGTTTTTTAATTAGCTAGGCATGGTGGGATGCACCTGTACTCCCAGCTACTCTAAAGGCTGAGGCAGGAAGATCCTTTGTGCCAAGGCTTGATTCAAGGCTGCTGTGAGCTATGATCCTGCCACTGCACTCCAGCCTGGGCAACAGAGCCAGACCCTGTCTCCAAAAAAAAAAAAAAAAAGCATAAAGGGGGACAAAAAAAGCAATTTGGGACCAGCCATGGTGACTCACACCTGTAATCCCAGCACTCTGTGAGGATCCCTTGAGGCTACGAGCCTGGTGCTTTTAAAGCAATATTTTGTTCTCATTATCAGTAGCAAATGTGAAGCTCTGATATGTTGAATATATAATTTGTAAACATGACAGAACTCATATCATAATGAACACTTTTTTCTTTTACATGTCAGCAATTAATTGAAATAATGAACACTTTCTATACAGAAGCAGAAAAACACTATGAACTACAGAAGAAAATACAGTAAGAATTTAACTTATGAGACAACTAACTTGACTGGCTAAATCTACAACACAGTGGGGCAACGACCCTCAAGCAAACTCAGAACAAACCTTTGCAAATAGCAGCCTTCCTTATACCCATACCAGAACATTTCAAAAGCTTCAGGGTCCTCAAGACCATAGTGATTATAAATCAAAGCATCAAACTGGCCGGGTGTGGTGGCTCACAACTGTAATCCCAGCACTCCCAAGGTGGGCGGATCACTTGAGGTCAGGAGTTCAACACCAGCCTGGCCAACATGGTGAAACCCCGTCTCCACTAAAAATACAAAACTTAGCGGGACTTGGTGGTGCACGCCTATAATACCAGCTACTTGGGAGGCTGAGGCAGGAGAATCACTTGAAGCTGGGAAGCAGAGGTTACAATGAGCAGAGATCATGTCATTGCACTCCAGCCTGGGTGACAGAGCCAGACTCCATCTCAAAAAAAAAAAAAAAGAAACAAAGTATCAAACTGCAAAATCCACCTACATAAGTTCCTAGAGTCTCACTACATTTTTGTAGAGAAAAAAAATAGCTTTCAACATAATGTACTTTCTGTCTTGAAATTTAAATCACTTCAGTGTGTTTATTGTTCTTTTGAAAATTCAAACTGGCTAAAATTTTCTTTAAACTTAAGGTCGGGCGTGGTGGCTCATGCCTGTAATCCCAGCACTTTGGGAGGCCAAGGTGGGCGGATCCCCTGAGGTCGGGAGTTCAAGACTAGCCTGACCAACATGGAGAAACCTCACCTCACTAAAAATACAAAATTAGCCAGGCATGGTGGCACATGCCTGTAATCCCAGATACTAGGGAGGCTAAGGCAGGAGAATCGCCTGAACCCGGGAGGTGGAGGTTGTGGTGAGCCTAGATCACGCCATTGCACTCCAGCCTGGGCAACAAGAGTGAAACTCCGTCTCAAAAAATAATAATAATAATCAAAATAATAGGCCAGGAGTGGTGGCTCATGTCTATAATCCCAGCACTTTGGGAGGCCAAGGCAGGTAGATCACCTGAGATCAGGAATTTGAGACCAGCCTGGCCAACGTGGTGAAACCCTGTCTCTGCTAAAAATACATAAATTAGCCAGTAATCCCAGCTACTTGGGAGGCTGAGGCAGGAAAATCACTTGAACCCAGGAGACAGAGGTTGCAGTAAGCCGAGATAGTGCCACTGCACTCCAGCCTGGGTGATAGAGCAAGACTCCGTCTCAAAATAAATAATAAATAAAATTAATAAATAAAATAATGAAACCTGCATATCCTGCACATGTACCCCTGAACTTAAAAGATGGGGGAAAAAAAAATCTGACTGGGCATGGTAGCTCACACCAATAATCCCAGCACTTTGGAAAGCCAAGGCAGGAGGATCACTTGAGCCCAAGAGTTCCAGACCAGCCTGAGAAACATAGGGAGACTATCTCTGTAACACGCGTTTTTTTTTTCAATTAGCCTGGTGTTGTGGTACACACCTGTGGACCCAGCTACTCTGGAGGCTGAGGTAGGGGTATTGCTTAAGCCTGGGAGGTCGAGGCTACAGTGAGCCATGATTGTGCCACTGCACTTTCCAGCCTGGGCAACAGAGCAAGACCTAGTTCCCTCGCCAAAAACACTAAGTATTATTCAGCTATTCTAGCGGAGAGAAAACATCCTCCAGAACAGTGAAGTATAAATTTCCTCCTATTTGTATCCTTACAAAACCACCAGTGGGCCAGGCCCAGCAGTTCATGCATGTAATCCCAGCACTTTGAGAGGCCAAGGTGAGAGATTACTTGAGGCCTAGAGTTCAAGACCAGCCTGGGCAACATAGCAAGACTCCATCTCTATTCAAAAGAAAAATCCACCACTGAAAACAGGAGATGGCAAGACACTGCCCAGATCATTTGCTAAAGCCTGTTTACAAAGGTTTCTATGTCAACATTTTCACCAATTAATAAATGTGATGCAACCTAAAAAACTATATACTAGGCCAGGCCTGATAGCTCACACCTGTAATCCCAGCCCTTTGCAAGGATGAGGCAGGAGGCTCACTTGAGCCCGTGATTTTGAGGCTGCAGTGAGCCATGATCACACCACTGCACTCCAGCCTGGGTGGCAAAGCAAACTTTGTCTCCAAAAAAAAAAAAAAAAAAAAAAAAAGTTATATACACACACACACACACACACACACACACACACACATATATACACTAAAACCAAACACCAGTGTTTGGTTTCAGTTAGTATCACTTATTTTACTCCCATCAAAACTACAAGATAAATGGACAAGCAAAAGGCTTCAGGTAAGAAAAAGCATGTCTGCACCTCATTATGAAAAACACAAGACTTAAACATTTTTTTAATCAGAGAAAAACAACTTACTAGCATGCTTATCTGCGAGCATTATAAGTGTGTTGGAAATATCACGTCGTCTATAAAAGCATACTACTTTTGCTTCCACGTTGCCACTTGCAGTCTAAGAGATAAGAAAAATAAAAGTCATTTGTACTGAATATTAGAGTCAAATAATTTATAAAACAAAACAAGATACAGCACAATTATATGATCATGCTCATTAATACTGGTGCCAACTACAACTGCAGGATAACCACAGAGCTAAAAAATTCAAATAAGGATGAGCAACATTTGTTCTGCTTCCAAGCACAACTGGAATGTCAAACATATAACAATACTGGCATTAACTAAACTAAACTGATTAGACCCTTTAATGATTAAAGCCAGACACAGTTAACACTGATTAGCTTTAAGAAACTAATCCCCCCCACTGCTTCAATTAACTAGCCTTAAAAAAAAAAAGAAAGAAAAAGAAACTAATCCCCCCAGTTTTTAAAGCCACAACTGACGGAAATAATTTATTTCAGTCATGTAAACATACCTTGTCCAAACCCATTCCCAGAAAGCACAAGCTAAGTGTAAAATCACCAAGCCCTCCCCTAAGTATCCCATGTTCCATGGACAGTGAAGCTCTGCAGGTGGGAAGCAGCCATAATACCGAATAGACCAGGTGACCTGGAAAGGCATTCTCTAGCCCAAGGAAGTCTACGAATCTCTTAAGAGTCAATATTCTAAAGCAGTACTTAGTTTACCTCCACAACTAAACATATTAAAAACCCTGAGTTATGAACACTGAAACTCTCATTTCTTTTTGGCTAGTCTACAATGCAATCAATATTCAGTTAGGTTCTTCCAAAGTATGATGGCTTCAAAAAAAATTCAGTTATGCTGTCATTTACTGCAGCTGGGGCCCAGGCTCCTGCTCTCCTATTCTCTAGAATTCTGAGAGCTCTCAAGAAGGTCAATCATTCATTACAAAGTTCCCTGTAAAAACACACAGATTATAATAAAATGCTATTGTGATTTCCATTTTCAAATAAATGTGAGAACAAATTTTCAGAAATTTATCTGGTCTTACAGATATACTCAAATACAAAGAAGAATATATAAGTTCTGCAGTAAATGTGTCAATTTTATGAAGTTCAGCAGCAGTATTTTAGATTAAAAAATAGTCCTGTGGAAACAGTGCCCCTTAAAATTGAAATCATATTAAATTTCTAACCAAAGTGCTTCTATATTTCATAATACTGTGATCAAATACATTCTCCAGAAATAATGATCCAGCAGTCTGCTAAATGAACAGGCCAGGATTTCCATGTAAATAAAATAAAATCTATCAGTGACTTCAAATATAAGCTCTTAGTCATTTCTGTCTTCTTGAGATTTTGTCTTTTTGAGATATGCCTTGAAACTGTTGCTTTGGATTTTCAATGTGATTTTTGTCTCTTTTTGAGATATTAAAAATCCAGGCTGGGCACGGTGGCTTACGCCTGTAATCCCAACACTTTGGGAGGCCAAGGCAGGGGGATCACGAGGTCAGGAGTTCTAGACCAGCCTGGCCAACATAGTAAAACCCCGTCTCTACTAAAAATACAAAAATTAGCCAGGTGTGGTGGCACACACCTGTAGTCCCAGCTACTCAGGAGGCTGAGGCAGAAGAATTGCTTGAACCTGGGAAGTGGAGGTTGCAGTGAGCCAAGACCACACCATTGCACTCCAGCATGGGTGACAGAGTGACACTCCACCTCAAAAAAATAAAATAAAAAATCCAAATCAACAGTTTCTAGGCATATTTTTTTCTGCCTCACTAGTGAGTTCCTCCAATAGGGATGCTATACAAAGCTAATTAAATTATTATTTAAACTTGCTTAGGGGGCGGGGAGCATAGTTCAAAATAGTCTCTTCTTTTTTTTTTTTTTGAGACGGAGTCTTGCTCTGTCACCCAGGCTGAAGTGCAGTGGCGCGATCTCGGCTCACTGCCAGCTCCGCCTCCCGGGTTCACGCCCTTCTCCTGCCTCAGTCTCCTGAGTAGCTAGGAGTATAGGCGCCCGCCACCATGCCCAGCTAATTTTTTGTATTTTTAGTAGAGACGAGGTTTCACCGTGTTAGCCAGGATGGTCTTGATCTCCTGACCTCCTGATCCACTCGCCTCAGCCTCCTAAAGTGCTGGGATTACAGGCGTGAGCCACTGCCCCGGCCATAAATAGTCTCTTCTTGACCATGCACTCACTTGGCTACTAGGTAGCTTATGGCTACCATATTCCTCTTCCCCTCTACAAACACACCCTCTCCAGCATTCTTCTGAAGCATTGTTACTCATGGGTCTACAGCCCAGTGCCAGTCTGCAACTGTTAACGGCATTTAATGAAATAAGTACAAGGTTTGAGGCTAAGTGCATTACAGCAATTAAGAGTTAATTTACATATATATATATATATATTTTTTTTTTTTTGGATGGAGTCTCGTTCTGTTGCCAGGCTGGAGTGCAGTGGCGTGATCTCGGCTCACTGCAACTTCCAACTCCCTGGTTCAAGCGATCCTCCTGCCTCAGCCTCCCAAGTAGCCTTTTTTTCCTAGCTTATCAATCAGAACAGAGTAAGTATTTTCAGTTCAGAGGTGGTTTTGTTTTGGTTTTTTTGTTTGTTGAGAGGGAGTTTCACTCTGTTGCCCAGGCTGCAGTGCAATGGCGCGATCTCAGCTCACTGCAACTTCCGCCTCTTGGGTTCAAGCAATTCTCCTGCCTCAGCCTCCCAAGTAGCTGGGATTACAGGCATGTGCCACCACGCCCAGCTAATTTTGTATTTCTAGTAGAGACAGGGTTTCACCACATTGTCCAGGCTGGTCTCAAACTCCTCTCAGGTGATCCACCCACCTCAGCCTCCAAAAGTCCTGGGATTACAGGCGTGAGCCACCGCATCCTGCCTTGTTTTGGTTTTTTTAAGACATGGGGGGTCTTGTTATGTTGCACAGGCTGGTCTCAAACCCCCAGTCTCAAGCAATCCTCCTGCCTCAGCCTCTTGAGCAGCTGGGACTACAGGCCTGAGCCACCATGCCTGTCTTCAAGTATTTTTAAATCATTATTTGGATTTTCCCATCATGTTTTAACTTTCTGTACCTAGCCAATTTCACCTCTGATCTTCCCAGGGCCTTTATCTAGAATACTCCTTTGGCTTCTCTTGCCATGGTTCCCTCTTCCTCATCCTTTAGGCCTCAACTTCAATGTCCTCTCCCACCCTACCTAAAGGAAATGACCTGTCATTCTCTATGTCGAGGCACTTGCCTTCTTGCAAGTTAACACAATGCATTACTATTACTATTTTCTTTATGCCCGTCAACTTGTCTTTCCGGGTGTCTCCCTCATGAGAATGTAGACCATGTATGGGTAGAGACCATGTCCATCTTGCTCACAGTTCTGTCTCTCAGCCTAGCATAGTGGCTGGTACATAACAGGTACTCAATAGTATTTGCTTAATGAATTGCCTAAAATAAGATATCTTTTTCACATCCCTTCAGAAATAAAGATCCTATGTAAATATTTCAATTAGCCATTCAAACTACCATTTTGTGAAATTACAAAGAATCCCATCTCTCACAACACAGTCATCCCCCAGCCCCAGAGACTCGCTATTACATGGATTCACAATACAGTCATCCCCCAGCCCCAGAGACTCGCTATTACATGGATGACTCTGTGCTGACAACAGGTAGGGGGAGGGAGGAGATGAGGATGGAGGACGGGGGCATTTTGGAAGTAAATGGCAATGAAATGATAAAGGAGTGTGAAATAATCCATGTTCACCTAGATGTGCAACCCAATCATTTAGCTACTGTGTGCCTCAAGACAACAACGCATGATCTAGGTACCTTAAGGTGTAAGGTTATGTGAGGCTCAAAAGGGTAACAAATGTGAATCCCAGGTTAGGTTTCCAGGGCACCATGCTGTGACATTTCTAAACTTAGCACAGCTGCAATTTTACTTTTACTTGTGGGACTATATGGTTGATGTCTGTCTGCACTAGACCTGTTTATCATCCTTGCATTCTCACTGTCTAAAAGTACCTGGCTGGTAGAAGGTCCTCAAAATTACTTGTAAAATGAATGAACTGAAGCAGTTGGTAAATAGTAAAGCTATGTATGTATAAGCATTAACATCAGACATTTCAGAAATTAATTCAACAAGTATTTAGTGAATGCCTTTAACTATGTGCCAACAACTATTCTAAGGCATTCAGAATGCATAACTGGACAAAACAGAGAAGATCACTATAGCTGACACTCTAGGAAGACAGGTAATGAAAACAAACACAGTAAGTATATTTGGAGGTGATAAATGATATGGAAAAAAGAGCAAGGGGTGAGGGGTAGGGTGGATACAAATAAATGGTCCTCCTAAGGTGGTTGCAGGGAGAAACAACCAAGAGCCCACTGTACTTTGTGCCAAGTAAGCAAGGCAGAGCTCCCACCTGCTTTCAGCAAAAGTGGAGGTCAGAAAGGGGCAGTGACCGCCAAAGAATACAGGCTCTCATAGGTCAAGATTTCTATTTCAATCTAATTAACTTTCTAATTAAACTGATACAGTAAATAGTTTGGAGTTGCCTCAATTCTTTTTTTTTTTTTTTTTTTTTTTGAGACGGAGTCTTGCTCTGTCACCCAGGCTGGAGTGCAGTGGCCACATCTCGGCTCACTGCAAGCTCTGCCTCCCGGGTTCACGCCATTCTCCTGCCTCAGCCTCCTGAGTAGCTGGGACTACAGGCGCCCGCCACCTCGCCCGGCTAGTTTTTTGTAATTTTTAGTAGAGACGGGGTTTCACCGTGTTAGCCAGGATGGTCTCCATCTCCTGACCTCATGATCCGCCCGTCTCGGCCTCCCAAAGTGCTGGGATTACAGGCTTGAGCCACCGCGCCCGGCCGAGTTGCCTCAATTCTTATACATCAAGAACATAAAAGATCAGAATCACATGCCAACAGTTCCCACCCACAGACTGATCTAAACTTGAGGCCATTCTCTTCATTTGGTGGTCTCAAAGACTAAATTTTTTTTTTTTTAATGTAAAATCTCTCAGTGCTTTCAGAGACCAAGATGGGGGTCTGCTTGAGGACAGGAGTTCTAGATTAGCCTGGGCAACATAGTGAGACGCCATCTCTACAAAAAATTTACGGCCGGGCGCGGTGGCTCAAGCCTGTAATCCCAGCACTTTGGGAGGCCGAGACGGGCGGATCACGAGGTCGGGAGATCGAGACCATCCTGGCTAACATGGTGAAACCCCGTCTCTACTAAAAAATACAAAAAACTAGCCGGGCGAGGTGGCGGGCGCCTGTAGTCCCAGCTACTCGGGAGGCTGAGGCAGGAGAATGGCGTAAACCCGGGAGGCGGAGCTTGCAGTGAGCTGAGATCCGGCCACTGCACTCCAGCCTGGGCGGCAGAGCGAGACTCCGTCTAAAAAAAAAAAAAAAAAAAATTTAAAAATTAGGCTGGGTGTGGTGGTTCACACCTGTAATCCCAGCACTTTGGGAGGCCAAGGTGGGTGGATCACTTGACGTCAGGAGTTCGAGACCAGCTTGGCCAACATGGTGAAACCCTGTCTTCACTAAAACACAAAAAAATTAGCTGGGCCTGGTGGCGGGCGCCTGTAATCCCAGCTACTTGGGAGGCTGAGGGAGATCACTTGAACCCGGGAGGAGGAGGTTGCAGTAAGTCGGGATCTATGCTACTGCACTCCAGCCTGGGTGACAACTAACACAGGCAAATGCAGTAGCACAGTCGTTTTGAGAAAAGGAAGCCGGGCACAGTAGCTCATGCCTGTAATCCCAGCACTTTGGGAGGCCAAGGCGGTGGATCACCTGAGGTCAGGAGTTAGAGACCAGCCTGATCAACATGGAGAAATCCCGTCTCTGCTAAAAATTAGCCGGACATGGTGGAGTATGCCTGTAAACTCAGCTACTTGGGAGGCTGAGGCAGGAGGATTGCTTTGAGTCCAGGAGTTCAAGGTTACAGCGAGTTATAATCATACCACTGAACTCTAGCCTGGATGACAGAGTCAGACCCTGTCTCCCTGTCTCTGGAATAAAATAAAAATAATGCAAATTCCCTGAGATATTCCCAAAACAAACCAAGGTCTCAAGGCTCTTTAAAGTAGGAACGTCCTAGGTCAGGCTTGCCTTCCCAGGACAAAACTGAACAAGTAACCAGATGGCATTTTGAGGGAAAGGTATTAGCTAGACAGACTCAAAGATTTTAACACTATGAAGTCTCATAAGCCACACAACCCTCAAAGCAGTCTGAAGGAAAACAAAGCATCATTAGAAAATCTATGGTCCATGTAGCTTACGACTGCTTTCTGGTGCCTCCATTATATAAACGCTGGTCAGGCGCAGTGGCTCACACCTGTAATCCCAGCACTTTGGGAGGCTGGGGTGGGTGGATTACCTGAGGTAAGGAGTTCAAGGCAAGCCCAACCAACATAGTAAAACCCTGTCTCTAATAAACACACACACAAAAAATAGCCAGGCGTGCTAGTGCCTGCCTGTAACCCCAGCTACTTGGGAGGCTGAGACAGGAGAATCGTTTGAACCTGAGAGGAAGAGGTTGCAGTGAGCTAAGATTGCGCCACTGCACTCCAATCTGGGCTAAAAGAGTGAAAACTCCATCTCAAAAAACAAAACAAAACGAAAAAAGGTTCTTCTCCTGCAATCATAAGGCTTCTGTTTTCCTAATAATCTACGATCACAGACAAACCTTAATGTAAACATTTTAACTGGGCCAAAGGTACAAAGCTACTTTATATTTATTATACCAAAACCATATTCTTTTTTTTGAGACAGTCTCTGTTACCCAGGCTGGAACGCAGTGATGCAATCACAGCTCACTGCAGCCTTGACCTCCTGGGCCCAAGCAATCTTCCTCAGCCTCCCAAGTAACTGGGACTACAGGCATGTGCCATCATACCCGGCTATTTTTTTTGGTAGAGATAGGGTTTCCCTGTGTTACCCAGGCTAGTCTTGAACTCCTGGACTCAAAGGATCCTGAGGTCTCAGCTTTCCAAAACGTTGGGATTACAGGTGTGAGCTACCACAGACAATTTAGCCTAGTCCAGAATTTTACAAATTCCCTTCCAATTTTTTTTTTTTTTAAGGAGTTTCACTCTTGTTGCCCAGGCTGGAGGGCAATGGTGTGATCTTGGCCTACCGCAACCTACACCTCCCAGGTTCAAGCAATTCTCCTGCCTCAGCCTCCCGAGTAGCTGGGATTACAGGCAGGCACCAACACACTAGGCTAATTTTGTATTTTTAGTAGAGATGGGGTTTCTCCAAGTTGGTCAGGCTGGTCTCGAACTCCCGACCTCAGGTGATCCACCCGCCTCGGTCTCTCAAAGTGGCTGGGATTACAGGTGTGAGCCACTGCACCCGCCAGCCAATTCCTTTCAATATTATGTTCCCTAGCTTCCTCTTTCTCAACCTGGAAGAGGAAAATATTAATTCACTAAAAAGAGAAAAATACACATTATGACTCTAAACATAAAAAGGGTCTGAGTTACATAAGTCAACTGCTCTTTCAGAGGCTCTAAGCAATTTGAAAATATCTGCAGACTTTTAAATATTCAGTAACTAAAAAGCAAAAGAATAGTCGGAATTCAGAATCCTGCATAACTCTCTAAAATCTCAACTTTCTTTTTTTTTCTTTTTTTTTTTTTTTTTGGAGACAGTATTTCGCTCTGTCACCCAGGCTGGAGTGCAATGGGGTGATCTCGGCTTACTGCAACCTCTGCCTCCCAGGTCCAAGCGATTCTCCTGCCTCAGCCTCCTGAGTAGCTGGGATTACAGGTGCATGCTACCATGCCTAGCTAATTTTTTTGTACTTTTTTGGTAGAAACGGGGTTTCACCATGTTGGCCAGGCTGGTCTTGAACTCCTGACCTCAAGTGATCCACCTGCCTTGGCCTCCCAAATTGCTGGGATTACAGGCGTTAGCCACCATGCCCGGCCTAAAATCTCAACTTTCAAAGAGTCTGGGACTGAAAGTAAAACCATCTCTTATGCCCTTTACCCCATTCATTTTTATTTATTATTATTATTTCTTTTTTTTGAGATGGAATTTCACTCGTTGCCCAGGCTCGAGTGCAATGGTACGATCTTGGCTTACCACAACCTCCGCCTCCTGGGTTCAAGCGATTCTCCTGCCTCAGCCTCCCAAGTGGCTGGGATTATAGGCATGTGCCACCATGCCCGGCTAATTTTTTTGTATTTTTAGCAGAGACGGGGTTTCTCCATGTTGGTCAGGCTGTTCTCGAACTCCTGACCTCCGGTGATCCTACCACCTCGGCCTCCCAAAGTGCTGAGATTACAGGCATGAGCCACCGTGCCCAGCCCTATTTTTATTTTTTATATTAATTAAAGAAAAAAAAATAGGCCGGGCGCGGTGGCTCAAGCCTGTAATCCCAGCACTTTGGGAGGCCGAGACGGGCGGATCACGAGGTCAGGAGATCGAGACCATCCTGGCTAACACGGTGAAACCCCGTCTCTATTAAGAAATACAAAAAAAAAAAACTAGCCGGGCGAGGTGGCGGGCGCCTGTAGTCCCAGCTACTCGGGAGGCTGAGGCCGGATAATGGCGTGAACCCGGGAAGCGGAGCTTGCAGTGAGCTGAGATCCGGCCACTGCACTCCAGCCTGGGTGACAGAGCGAGACTCCATCTCAAAAAAAAAAAAAAAAAAATAGAGATGGGGTCTCACTGTGTTGCACAGGCTGGTCTCAAACCACCCACCAGGCCTCCCAATTTACTGGGATTGCAGGCATGAGCCTCCGCACCAGGCCACCCTTTACCTAATTACCCGTTAAGGGAAAATAAATATTTTTTAAATTAAAATTAAGAACACTCAGTGTATATACCTTGTTGAGTTCTTCTATCCTTCTTATTAGGTATGGGTTGCTGGAGGAATTCTCAAAGTAGACATAATCTGTAATTAAAGGAAGTACAGAACTTAATATTTTCAACAGAAAGTTCAGATTTGTCAATCCAAGACTTTTTATGTTAGGCAATTCACGTTTGAAATTAAGCTCATAATTCATTCACTGGTAAAAGCAAACATAATAATGCAGCCTTAATATATTCTCTCATGTGCCTACTATTCACGGACCTTTATTTTCTTGGCATTTTCATTTCAATTAATGTTTCATCAGTTTCTCCTAGACTTCTGTCCCAATATGTCATTTCTTTAATAATAAACAAAAAAGACACCTCTTATCACTGGGTAGTCGGGGCACACTAAACATGTGTCCTCTGTACTATAACTACTTCCACATCTTTTTCCTCCAATACAATTTGCCCTGGAGGCTGCTTCTCACATAAAACTATTGACCTAAGACACATTCAGAGCATGGAGAAAGGCTTCACAGTCCAACCTACATTTCAATCGCTACTTAAAAAAAAAAAAAAAAAAAAAAAAAAATCAGATGAGCAGAACAGGTAAGAGGAAGAACACTAACAAACTTTTCCACAGCTCTACCTGGGAAGATGAGGAAAAAAGCGGGTCAGGGGGATCAATTATAAGAGGCAAAGTGCCCTGGGGGTGATATCACCATCTTTTTTACCCTTTTACCATATTTAATCCAGATCCATTTAATGTCTTGTGATTAAGAAATTGCTGCAGGCTTTCAACTAAAAAGATAACATTTTTCAAGTGTGGCTTTTCCTCTCATCTGATAGGCTCGCTGGAAACTTCCCACTGTGTGTTTATCTCAAAGGCAGCTGCATTGTTATTGTCTATCTTAGTGGCTCTTTCGCCGCTGTCTTCTGCAAAGTGGCCTCATTTAGCCAGGCCATTCCCACCACCATCCATCAGAAGCTCAGCTAATGAGCGGAGAAGGAAGAGCCAGTCTCTCATACAAACACGCCACTTATCTGAATTATTATTTTACCAGGAAAGAGGGAGGAGGGCGTCGTGAGTAGGGAGAAAGTTTGTTTGACCTTATTTCTCTCTTCCGCAGACTGGGAAGGAGGCAGGCAGCAGAGCAAACGTCCAGGCAGAGCTCAACTCCCCACCTCCGGCTGAGGTTCCCAGGTCCCACGAAGCCCCATTCGTGGGGGGCTGGACCAGAAACGAAAGGAGGGGGGCCGAGGAAGGCGAGGTGCAGGGCCCCGGCCCGCAAACAGGCCTGTCCAGCTGGGCCCCTGGCTGGGCCCCCACCGCCCCCACCCCCACCCCAGGCTCCCACTGAGTGGGGAAGAAGCAGGGGAGGGGATGTCCCCTCATCCTCTCCAGCGCCTAGAAGCCACGCGAGAAGGCCACCTTCTCAGGGGGCTCGACGGGCCCCACCACCATGAGGGTTTCGTGGAGGGAGGTGTCTGGTAATTCGTACCCCCAAGTAGAGGCCTGGCCCTAAACACCTGGCGGGGTGCGAGGGTGAAGGTGGCCCCGGCCCCTCGCGAGCCCCCGTGGGGGGAGGGGAGGGGTGGGGTGGGGGTGGGGAGTCCTGGCCCCTCTGCGGGCCCCGGCGCCCCCGCCCCCTGCGACCTCAGCCCCGGCGCCAGTGGCTCCCGGCAGTTGGCGTGCGCTCGCCCCGGCCCCCCGGTCCCGGAGCCCGCTCCCACACGGGCCGGGTCGGGCTGAGCCTGCCTACCTCCGACCCGGTACATGTTGGCCGCCATGTCCGCCCGCCCGCCCGCGGAGCCCGAGCCGAGCCCCGCCCGCCGCCGCCGCCGCCTCCTCAGCCTCAGCCTCGACCGCCGCTGCCGCCGCCGCCTCCGCTGCTGCCTCGCCACGGGGGGGAAGGGAGGGAAGGGAGGGGACAGGGGGAGGGGGAAGTGAAGGGGAGGGGACGCCGAGGGGTGGGGGCTGGTGCCCGCCCCCAGCGCCAGGCTAGCGAAGCCTAGTGGGCCGGGCCGGGGGAGGCCCGGGGAGGCCCGAGCGCTGCGGGACCAGCGGGAATTGGGGGGGAGGGGGAGGGGGAGGGGAAGGAGAGTGGGAGGGAGGGTGGGGGGCCTCGCTGGAAGTGGAGGGCCCTGGAGCCAGGGTCCTGGCCGAGGCAGAGGCCTGCGCTCAAATGCGGACCAGGGGCAGTTAGAGAATTAGAGTGGGGGCTGGGGCTCAGCCTCTCCCCAGCACCTCTTGCCCCACCCAGTGTACCCCGTCACCTGTCCACCCCGAGACAGGTCCTCCTTTCCTACCTCTGTCCCTGGGGACCCCCCCTGGGGCTGACCTGGTAGGCGAGCGCCAATCTCAGTGCAAACTCTTGGACGCAAATAAGTACAGGCAGCAGGGTGCCTTCCTCGTGGTGAGATCCAAGGGGCCGGCCTGGAGCCTGCAGGCTCTAGGGCCAGGAAGACCCTGGGTGCTTCCCGCCTCGCCAGAGACCCGGCTGGGGACAGAGGTTGAAAAACTCCCTTCCTAGGCTACCCTAACTGCATCATCGTTCACCCCAAAACTGGGCTGAGCAGAACCAACTCTCCAACACCCAGATGGAGGCCCTGGCTCTAGACAGGCCCTATATATGCAGGGCCTGTTCTGCTGGGACCTTTAGGAGTGGGGGGCTTCCTTTGTCCATGGGGGAACAGGGCCCTACAGTTCACAATCACCACCCCCAAAAAGAGGAGATTCTGTTCAATCAGCTTGATATGGATGGACACTTAGCTGGTTATGTGCCTAAAGCTTCTAAATGATTATTGTCCCAAGCCAATTCTCTAAACAACCTCTGTTTTCACGGCCTTCCTACTCTCACAGAAACAAAACAAAAAAAAAACAACAACGTTGAATCTTAGCTGGCTATCCCCCAAACGAACACAAATAACTTTCTTTAGAGAAGCCAGTCCATTCCAAAGTACTCCCAGACATTGGTGCATAATAAACACGAAGAGGATTTCTTGGTGTGGTGGCTTGTTTGGAATGTCTGGTGATACACAGCTGTGTGCTGTCGACTCTGGGTTTGACATCTGTGCGGGGCTAAGAGGTGCCCCCAGAAAAGAAGGTTGTGTTTCGGTTGTTTGGTGATAACATTTGTGATGGTCCCTTATCACAGAGTATTGAGGTGAAAAAAAAGTTATGCGTAGCTGAGGCAAAATATAAAAATAAAAAAGAAAGCACCATTGAATTACATTGACTCTATGACCTGTTTCCTCGTCTATAAAATGGGAACGCGAATTCCCCCTTCACAGGTGTGGTAAGGATCAGTTGTGATGATATCTGAAAGTGCTTTTTAAACCAGGGAACACAGAGCACCGTGCAAATAACAGGTGTCTCTTGCTTTCTTTTTAACCCCAGGAAACCACAGATTCCCAAGGGTTCTCTGCTGTGTGTCAAATTCTGAGCCATGTGTCAAATTCTGACCCAGAGAAGAAAGCAAAAGTGTTCTGTTCTGCACATTGCATAGCTGTCATTCAACATTTACCAGAGATCCCACCAAAAACATTCTGACAAAACTGACATCACTCCATTTCTGAGCTGACACATAAATAGGTTGAATAATTCACCTGGAATCACACAGTAAACTGGCAGCAATATTGGGATTATAAATCAGCCCTTTTCTCTGGCCTAGAATGTTCTGAACCACAGTCTTTCTCCAAGTGCAAAGACCATCTAGAAACCATAAAGTGCATAGAAGTGGATCACAAGCTTTAGGGTGTTTTCCCATTAATTTTTCATAAGCAATTTCTCCTCCTTCAAAATCTTGCCCTGTTTTTGTTATTTCATTGTGTGCCTGTCTCATTTCCCCAGCTTAGTGCTCTTGCCAGGTGTTTCTGATGACTGTGCTAACCACAATAAATGGTGAAAGATGCCAAGAAAACTCCCTACGTCCCCTTAGGAACAGCCTTATCCAGCAGCACCCCATGAAAGACCTCAAAGACTTGAAGGGGACTAGCAGGAGGTAATGATGGTGGCAGTACTTGGAACTGTTTTTTACTCTAGATTCTCTATGTTAGTCTCTTCCATCTCCAGCTCCTAGACCAATGTCCTCTACATTTCTGAGCTGACATAGTAGATGCTCAGTATCTGAAGAATAAATACCAACGAATCATGGACTCAGAGAATCAGAAGAGCTGAATATAGGACTTTGCCTATGAAACTTTTCTATGTCCTAATTCCAGAGAGGTTCACACATAAAGGAGCTCAGCAAATGTTTGTAGATTGAAAGAAACGTTTCAAGCAAAGAAGGGTGGAAAGCCTGCACCTTTAAAAAAGCAAAGGCACGTCTCCCTTCTTAGCTACATGGTTTAGACCACAAACTTGTCATCAACCAGCCCTAACATCACTCCTAGTTTGGGAGTTTAACTATAAAGACCTTGAGCAAGTTACTTAACCTCTCTGAGCCTCAAGAGGGATTACAAAATATTACTACTGGTTGATACCTACCTCAAAGGCTTATGGTAAAAAAAAAAAAAAAAAAAAAAAAATTGAGACGGAGTTTCGCTCTCATCGCCCAGGCTGGAGTGCAATGGCACAATTCAACTCACTGCAAGCTCCACCTCCGAGGCTCAAGCAATTCTCCTGCCTCAGCCTCCCAAGCAGCTGGGACTACAGGTGCCCGTCACCATATCTGGCTAGTTTTGGTATTTTTAGTAGAGTCAGGGTTTCACCATATTGGCTAGACTGGTCTGGAACTCTGGACCTCAGGTGAACTGCCTGCTCGGCCGCCCAAAGTGCTGGGATTACAGGCATGAACCACCATGCCCAGCCTGGTAAAATTTAAATATAGAAGGTGTTGGCACTTGTTGAGAGCTTCATATGTGTTAAGTTCCCTTCTCTCTATTCCAGTTATTCTCATCACTAAGGAAGAACTGTCTCTCAGGCCATGCCAGAAATCCCAGGGCAAATCCAGCCCTTACACGGATGAAATTTCCTTGCACGGTTGTTGCAATTAAAGAACCACATATAAGATAGTTCTTCACCATTTAGTTGAAGAGAAGTGGATGCAGCAAGAAAGCTATAGGTGGCTAGGCATGGTGGCTCATGCCTGTAATCCCAGCACTTTGAGAGTCCAAGGCAGGAGGATCATTTGAGCCTGGACAACATGGCAAGACCCCACCTCTACCAAAAAAAAAAAAAAGTTAGCCAGTTGATGCACACCTATGGTCCTGGCTACTCTGGAAAAGGCTGAGGCAGGAAAATCGCTTGAGCCCAGGAGGTCGAGGCTGTGAGCCATGTTTGTGCCACTACACTCTAGCATGGGCAATAGAGCAAGACTCTGTCTCAAAAAAATAAAGAAAAGAAAAAAAAGAAAGCTTTAGGTGAAGAGGTGAAATGGAGAGTTGGTTTTTGTCTGAACATAGGGATGGAGTTTTTATATGTGCGAAAAAATAAAAAGAGATTGGTGCTGGTTGACTGGGCTCGGTGGTTCACGCCTGTAATCCCAGCACTTTGGGAGGCCGAGGCAGGCAGATCATAAGGTCAGGAGTTCGAGACCAATCTGGTCAACATAGTGAAACCCCATCTCTACGGAAAATGCAAAATCTTAGCCGGGCGTGGTGGCACGCGCGCCTGTAGTCCCAGATACTCAGGAGGCTGAGGCAGAAGAATCGCTTGAACCTGGGAGGTGGAGATTGCAGTGAGCCAAGATCAAGCTACTGCACTCCAGTCTGGGCAACAGAGCAAGACTTCATCTCAAAAAAATAAATAAATAGACCGGGCACTGTGACTCACGCCTGTAATCCCAGTACTTTGGGAGGCCGAGGCGGACGGATCACCTGAGGCTGGGAGTTCGAGACCAGCCTGACTAACATGGAGAAACCTCGGCTCTACTAAAAATACAAAATTAGCTGGGTGCAGTGACACATGCCTGTCATCCCAGCTACTAGGGAGGCTGAGGCAGGAGAATCGCTTGAACCTGGGAGGTGGAGGTTGTGATAAGCTGAGATCGTGCCATTGCACTCCAGCCTGGGCAACAAGAGCAAAACTCCATCTCAAAAAAAATTTAAAAATAAAATAAATAAATAAATAAATAAAAAGAAATTGATGCTGGCCACAGTCTGGGAGTTCTGTAATACTGAACCCAGGAAAGGAGCCTGGAGGTCTAAAATGTAATTAATCTGAAACCAGAAGCCAGGCTTCAGAAAACGGACTTTGTCTTGTTGGTTTGTGTTTTCCATGATTTATTTCTGTCTTCTTTTTCCTTTCATTAGCTTCTTCTCTTATTTAGTAAAATTCTTTTGGAAAAGGCCAGCCTGTCTCCTATTCTAAGGAGGGCCTGGGTTTTAAAGGCAGAGGAACATATCCCAAGAGAAATGTAGGCATGTGATGGCAAGAATCAAAGCAGAAGAACCTCGAAGAGAAAGGAAACCAGAATTGGGAGTTCTGTAGCTTCTCTAGTCGTAGAGCTGGTGCTTCCATAGATCCTCTGTGCTAAAAACATGAAATCCAGGACCAATCCCTAACGGTGTTGGTTTCGGGCAGTATGTGTTTTCGAATCACACAGTTCCCTCATGCCCTCACAGGGGAGCTAGCTCAGCCATTTGGCTGGTTCCACAAGAAGGTTCCTTCTCTAGTAACATTATCTGTAGATAATAGAAAGGAGACTAAGTCATAATGGGGACAGAAATGAGCCCCTGGGTGGTTAACTTAATTGACCCTACTGTTTCTCTTTTTTAACTACTGTAGATTTGAATAAGAAATGGTTGATCTGTGTGGTGGCTCACGCTCAACACTTTGGGATGCCGAGGCAGGCAAATCATCTGAGGTCAGTAGTTTGAGACCAGCCTGGCCAGCATGGCAAAACCCCATCTCTACTAAAAATACAAAAATTAGCCGGGCATGGTGATGCGTACCTGTAATCCCAGCTACTTGGGAGGCTGAGGCAGGAGAATCGCTTAAACCTGGGAGGTGGAGGTTGTAGGGTCAAGAAAAAGAATGCTAAGGGGCAATGGGAAGTGTTGAAGGAATGTG